CATTCCTTGTTCTTCATTAAATGCAATTGCTTTTTTCCTGTATTTAATGAAGAGCATAAAAATAATAATTAATAGAAAAATAGGGAGATAAACTTCTGCGATGAAACAGAGGCTGTATTATGTCAGATCTCATGTCTAAGAGAATCACATTTTTAAATTGTATTATATGTGGAAGGCTGCTACAAATAGAACAATAGAAAACTGTTAAAATACAATCACTTCCTCCTAATTTAAAAGTTCTTTATGGCAAGACTATTTTGATTAATATTCTGCTGAAATTTGCTTTGCAAAATTGTTTTGTTTTCCTATTTTCCTTTCCAACATTGAAAATTTCTTTTGTATTTCTTTGAGTTTCCTTTATTTCTAGATGTCATAGAACATGGGTATCAAACTCGTGCATCACGTGATGCATTGTGACTTTTTTTCTCTTTGTGGGGATGGAATGTGATGTATCCAGCCTGCATGCCAACAACAATCTCTTTTTATTATTTATTGATGCATTGATTCAATTTATTTGCTGCTCAGTTCGGGTGACTGAATCTTACAATGTGGTTCAGGTTATCTTACATCCTGATAACATGAACATTTAAAAATTATAAAAATGAACTACAATTACAAAATAATTGAACTTTAGAGGGAAGACATGGTGATGCCTTCTCTGGTAGTGAACCAACCACCTCCAGCCCACAGTTTCTCCTTCAGGTTTTAAAGACTTTCCTGGAGGCTAAAAGAGAGGGGTGTATTTTACCTTCTGTGACAGAAAATACTCTTCTCCTGGATCCCACCAACTGAAATTCCTTGGCTGTTGAGATCCGCAGTAGGCCCCTTCTGCCAACATGAGTGGGGTGACCAATTCCAATGGCATGTGCTCACCAAACCAGTTTTTACACTGGTTGAATCATACTACTGAGGATCCATGTGGTCACATGATCAAAATTCAGATGCTTGGTAAGTGACTCATGATAGTTGCATGATCTTGGGATCATGATTACTTTTTGTAACCTGACAATCAAAGTCAATGGGGAAATCACATTCATTTAACAACAGTGTTACTAATTTAACAATGATTTGCTTAAGAACCGTGGCAAGAAAAGCCATAAAATGGGGCAAAACTCACTTAATAATGGTCTTACTTATGCTAAGTTTAGGGCTACTTGTATCTCATATAAGTGCATTTAGGCTAATTGTAATTCAGTTAATTATAATAACTAACTAAGAAAAGCTGAAGGACTGGATTTAGAGTTTTTATATATTTATTTTAGGCTATTTATTAAGTCAGTTTGTATCTAGTATGAAGGAGTTTCCAGTAATTGACTTCTTCCTTCTACTGTTATAACTTATTGAAAGTTGAAGAAACAGAGACCAGACATGACATTCAACACATATCTGGTAGTTATTGTGAAAACATAGTGCAAAAATGTGATAGAGAATCCAGAGAAAGGGGCATGTGTGAATAAGTGTAAAAGGATAAACCCAGGAAGAATGGATGGTAACATAGTCCATAACAGAGAAAACCTAGTGAAATGGGAGCAGAAATATGTACTTGGCATTCTGACCAGCCATCTGTTATAGGGGAGGAGAGCCAGGATATAAGCAAGGATGTCAACAAGAGAAAAGGCAGGAAATGCCTTGGAAGCACCTAATGTGGAGCTCTTAATAATGCTGGTATTTCCCAAAGACAGTCATTTGATAGTAATCATTCATGGCTCATCAACTCATTGGGAATTGAATGCATTAGATATTTTCTCATTTCTAATCCATTTACTCAAAGAGGAAAAAAGGCTGAATAATTTTATGAATAATCGTTTTTGCCTTTTTCATTTTCATCTTTAGTTGGACACCTTAATGATCTTAATATTTTTAAAGAAGCAGTCACTACAGTTTTAATATAAATTCCATGCCTGCATTATATTTCAAATCAAATAGTATGGCAATGATATAATGACCACAAAAAGGGGAGGTAGAAGTTTTCATTTAGTTTATTTATTTAATCATGTAATGCTTCTTTTAGACCTGTTGGAGTTCTCCCTTTGGAAGAAAAAATACTTAATGGTGCCTCCAAGGTCATGTTGCCAAAATTTATCAGTAAATTATTAACTCATTTAACTGCATGATGATATTTTCTTCTTTTTGTTTACAGTTGTGTTTGTTAAAACTATCCTACAAGCCCTTAAAATTTATATCCTGGGTGAAAACAGATGTTGTGGGGGGACTATATTCTTTCTTTTACTCTGTAGTAAAATGTAATTAAATCAAAAGCAGCTTACTCTGTAGTAAGCTGCTTTTGATTTAATTACATTTTGAACATAACAGGTCATTTATCCCTGAAATAATAATTTAAGTCTGAAAAATATTTGAGAAAGATTTGTTGCAATCTGTCAAAATATAGAATAATCAAACTATAATTGATGAAAGATGTTTAATAAGTAAGTATCCTACTTATACAATCATAAATTTGCAAATTTTCTCATTTTGTCAGCTAATAATGGACTGACTTCCATTGGAATAGAACAGTCTTAAAGCAGAGATTATCAATTTTGTGCTCAGATATTTTTGGCTTATAAAAGTTGGTTGTCCTTTGCTACCAGCCCACTTGGATAATGAAAACAGAAGTAAAGAATATTTGGAGAGGACTTTGAGCTTAAAGTATTTGTGTGCAACTTCTTAGCCCTATAACTCTGTGAAGAGTTTCTAACATGACTCATGAAAATCCTTAATATAGCTCACACAGTTCATGTTGAGATCCAACAAATGAAAAACAGCAGGATGACATACTTGCTCAAAACAAATTTGCTGAAACAAATATCCTTTTTTATTTAAATCACTTCATGTCATTACCAATAAGTTCATAATTTTGATGACCCATTGTTCATCAATTAAGATTATATGTACAGTATATAATGGTCCAATTCAGTACAAATCACATTTATATCTTCAAATACTCTGCTTTGAATTTGTGTTGCAAAATGATAAAACACGCCCACAACTTTTTGCATTTATTATAATAATTATTCTTTAAAAATGGAAAATCAATTTTGGAGATAAATGTTTCTCTCTTTGTTTTCCCTTTCCAAATGGGAATGTGCCATTAGGCCACATGTTAATTTCTGTAGTCACACATATATGTGCATACTTTAATTTTAAGATCAGATTTAGATAATAATTTACAGATAATCTTTTGGAGCTGAAAAGAATTTAAAAAGTAATAATATTTCAAGTAAAGAGGCATTTTTTCTTGGAACATGTTTTAAATTAAACTATTCAATCTCATTAACTGAACCAGATGTTATTAATTAAAAATAGAATCAATTTGTTCATTAGTGGGACAGATAATGCAATTCTATCTGCACTCCTATAAAGACTCCGAAGTCTCTTACTTTCATTGAACTAAGAGGTTTTCCAGTATTCCCAAGAAATCACACATTCTATAGATAGCCAAACTAAAAAATTCTTCAGTGGAATCAGATGTGCAATTTTTCAATAATATAGAAATGCATTTTGTAATATATTGAAACAGTATGGTGCAACTATTTGCTTTTTGGCTTGTTTGTTTTGGCCATATAGCTACTTTTAAGAAGTGTTGATGATACTGTGCTTTTTCCATTGATTATTTAAAATTATATGGCTTTTTCTGCAGCTTGCAACCTTTTGACACTTGAAATTGTCATGGAATTTTCATCCAAGGAAAGAAGCTCACTACTGAGGAGAAATGACCAAACTTTATTCAATTATCATTGGGTCTGTGCTTTGCAAGAAAGAAGGGCCCTGTACAATAAGAAAGCATAAATCTTTATAAAATTTGGGGTTGAGGAGCAGAAAAACTTAAGGATCTGATTTATGGGGATATTTTTGAGCAAGTAAGATAAGTGTTTAAACAAAAAGAAAATATATTTGAAAAGTAAAGCTGCTAAGAATTTCATAGTTAAGAGAATAAATGTTAAGACGAGCTCACGCTTGATTGGGATGGAATAGTTGTGGTTTCTCAGTTCCTGCTTCCTTGATGATAAGATCAGAAGACTATTTTGGCAACAGAAACATACCATGTATGAGCTGTGCATTACCCTGGGACCAATGGTGGGCACTGGTTTAACAACTGGCTTAACAACTGGTTTGACGAACATGTGCTTTGTACGCGTGCGCCTAAGGCATTTGCGCACAGCATTGAAAATGGAGCATTTAGAAGCTCAGCTGCTTACCTTCCAAGTCAGCAATTGTAAGCAGAAGGATGGGAGGGGGAATCAGCTGTGCCATGCAATTGAGATAAGCTAGAAAGCAGGAAATAAAGGAGAGGATAGGGCAGGGGTGAGTGGGTGGGTGGGACCAGCTGATCATTGGAACTACTGGTTCACATGAACCGATCTGAACCAGCAACAGCCCACCACTGCCTGGGACTGGTCTAGTTTACATATACAAATGTGGTGATGGGGGGATAAGTATATCAGAGGGAAATGAGGAGTTTGTACTGGAGAGGAGGAGAGGAGGAGAAAAGGAAAAGAAAATGAAAAGGAGTGGGGAGAAATGGAAAATAATTTGTAGCTTTATTTCATTATTATTTTCCATCACATCATTATTGCAGTTTATGTTGCATGTTTATAATAAAGAAACATATTATTATTTTAAAATGTTCCTTAGAAGTAATACACTATTGCAAATTCTTACCATCAGAAGTAATAGTGCTATATTAAGAGTCAAACATCTTAAATAATTGTAAATATCAATTATTAACTTTTATCTAATGTAACATTGTAATAAGCAAATTTCTTTCAGTAACATCTGCTAATAGAAAAAATAGTCTCTGCTATGTTTTGCATTCTTGACACTCACTCCCTTTCATTGCTAATGAAGGTTATCGAAGTATGTGGGATACCTCACATAAATGTGAAACACATTTGTATCTTTATCCGCACAGCATATGAGTTGAGAAAAGAGGTTTCAAATGCACTTAATCTGCATGATGTAAGTCAACAAACCCTAATCTGTTTGTATACTTTGAATTCCAGATACGGACCCACGTGTATTAGAAAAACAAGAATTACAGCAACCCACATATGTTGCTCTCAGTTACATTAATAGGTAAGCTGTTCTATGTATAAATTAAAATATATCTATGTTTTTATAATGTCTGTTTGTTAAAGGACTAGTTGCAATAAATTTCAAATGGGACAGGAATATAAACAATTCTGCTAAAGTCTATAATTCTGGAGCTGCATAAATGTAGCTTCTTTCAAACATAGTATAGTAAATTCCAAATTTGAATGGAGTTTTATTGCATTAAAATAGGTATGCTGAGTTTATTAAAATACATTGATTTCAGAAAAAAAATGAAGTATTTTGGCTGGGAATTCTGACAAAAGGATCAGAAATGGCCCTCATGACTTATAAATAAGGGTCCATTGATTCTATTATTAGATAGCTTTTGTGCTATAGCTTTTTTGTATTAACACAAATTAATATTAATTAAGCAATTAGACATGGGTGTCCTGGAGGGAGGGGATCAAAAAAGTCCATATGGTCACCACAATATTAAAATAAAAAGATTTTATTAAAATAAAAAGGTTTTGATTGCATGGCAGTGGTGGTCCCTGTCTTGGCTGTTTTTGACACACGCATCCATGAACACTATTGATAGTGGTCCATTTAGAATATCCTTTTTGACCTAAACTTCCTTGTCCATTTGTACAATATTTGTAATATTCTAAAATATATTCAGTAAAAAATTATCCGGCTTTGATTCAAAAAAATAGGAAGGAAAATGCTTCGGCATCATCAATCCATTGCAGAATGTTAGAAGACTTCTTGCATTTGAAGCATTAAAAGACTTATTGTTTTTTTTAAAAAAGGCTCTGTTTGATCAGGTGGTGTCATGTTATCATTTGTATCTATATTCAAATAAATATAAAGGAAAAGGATTGAATTAAATGATAATGAAATGTTAAAATAGTAGGCTGCCAACTAATTTAAGGCATATAGTGAAGCATGCAGAACAAATTCCGTGACCTTTCCCAGTAATATAATGTGATTGGTACCATTTTTAATCATAGCTGTACACTGTAAAGCGTGTCATTCATAGTATTATAGTTGGATATTCTTATTTACAAAGTTTGGTTCATTTCATATCACTATTTGCATCTTACTGTCTTTCCTGTTATTAGAAATTAGTATGTTTCCACTTTTTAAATAAATAAAATCAATATATTTTCCTTTCTACATATACTTTCTTTAATAAATGATTATTTATTGTTTCAAAAGGATAACAGGTCATTTGTGGTTTTCTATGCAAAAATAAAATTAGAGCTATTAAGATTAGATCTGTGTATATCTAGTGTATGCCTGAATGTATGATAGAGTGAACAACTAACAACGTTATGTTTTTATCTACCTAATCATATCTTCACTTTCTATCACAAAATTATTCTAGAGAAAGAACAAGAGAATTATTAGAATTTATTGTGGAAGAAACAAATACAGAATTCAAAATTTCAGCATTTCTACCAAATGTTCTTATGTATGTTTTATTCTGATTTTTTTTTTCCTGAGCATAGTTGGCATTTTTTGGCTTTTTAAGGTCAATGCTTGAAATATAAGCCCACTCTTCATGTATAAGATTAATCCATATTTTTCTTTTTATGAAGAATGCTGCCATTCTGAAGGCAGGTAAGTTTTTACTTGTAACATATCTGAGTAATTTTTGTAGCATTTGCCTCCTATATAAAAGTTTTTGCTGAGCAGGTCTGAGAAATAAGGAATAGCACATTTTAACAAAAGTAAAATGCCTTCAGTTGTGGTACTGAACCCAAAATGATTTTATGCATAGCTATCTAATTTCAGTTGACAAAAATAATGCAAAGTATATACTTTATCAGAAAGAAAAAATTGCTGTGAAATAACTACTAATAGAAGGCTTGTTTTTTGCAAAATAGCCAGTGGTTTAGCAAATCAAAATACTTATAGTACTATTTCTACGTTATATGTATATTGTTGCATATTCTTCCAAATTTCTGTAAAATAGCTATTAGAATTAAAATCTCTTCAGAATGAAATTTATTGGGCATTTGTATAATTAAAGTTGATTGATTCAACAAAACTGGTATACATTATTGTTGTGGCCCCGATTCCCGAGCCTATGCTGTCAGAGGAAGAAGACCTGGAAGATAAGGAGGAAGAACTGGGAATGCCTTCCTCCCCAGGACCTTCCTCTCTGGCAATGCCTTCCTCCCTGATAATGCCTCAGGTTTCATCAGACAACCGAGAGGAACAGCCTGAGATTAATCAGGAGGAAGGCATATCAGAGCAGCCCCTGACAGGGAGTAAAGAGGAAGAGTGTTAGCTTGATCCTAAGCAGCATCGTAGGGAGAAACGTGAGCAGCAATGTAGGAGGCGTGGGAGGGTCAGAGAGTGAGCTGAGTCATTGAGCCACACCCCACAGGGGATAAAAGTGGGTGTGTTTTCAGCTGGAACTTTGTACGGGACAAAGTTTAATCTTACTTCAGATTTTCTTTGTGAATGATTTTTGTGGACTGCCTTGTAATTTTCTGTGAGTAGATTTTTATTTGTTATCAGTTCAGACTTAGCAGGCAGAGGGTGTTGGAATGCCAAGGATATTATCAGTTCCAAAGAATTAACTCTGTGAAGTCCGAGCCAGCTTGCCTGCCTATGTTTGTGTGAGTTTGTATTCTTTCATCTTTTGGGAAAGAAGAAAAGTGAGACAGAACATTTTTGTCCCGTACCTGACTTAAACCATCTTTTACCTAAGATGGACCAGCAGCAGCAGCTTCAACAACAGCTGCAAGATGAAAATCAAATTCTACAACAGCAAGTGGCTCAATTAACAGCCCAAATTGCTTTGCTGCAGGCTCATGCAGCTCTTCCCCCCCCCCCCTCGTCAGAAATGCCTGGTGGCTGTGCCAGATAAGTTTTCTGGGCAGCCTGAGATGTTCCCAGCTTTCATGGGACAGTGCCAGTTATTTATGGCTATGAGGCCAGAGGATATCCCAGATGATCGGGCTCTGATGGGGTTTGTGATAAGCCTCCTTTCTGGCTTGGCCACCAGATGGGCCACACATTTGTTGCTCAAGAACAGCCAGTTATTAACTAATTACCAGGGTTTTTGGCAACACATGCGCCACATGTATGAAGATCCCATACGAGTGCAGCCAGGCGTCTTAAGGACCTTCACCAAGGGAGGCGCCCCTTGCAAGAGTTTATTTCTGAATTTCGGCTTTTGTGCCTGGACTCCAACTGGAATCCCGCAGCGTTAATGGACACCTTCCAGGATGGCCTGTCAGATGAGCTGCAGGATGAGTTAGTTCGAGTGGAACCGGCCACGACCCTCGACTCTTTGGTCATGCAATGCTTGTGCATCGATGCACGTCTCCAATGGCGAAAGAACCATCATACCGTCCAGGAGCAGCCATCTGCATCTGTACCGCAGCGCCCTGTGCTAACAGCACCCCGGGTCACCAAACATGTCGTGGCAATGGCCGAGGAGCCAATGGAGTTAGGAGCAGTCAGACCTCGACTGATGGCCTAGGAGTCAACGCGGAGACGGCAAGTGGGGTTGTGCTTGTATTGTGGGGGGGGCAGGACATTTCACTAATTTTTGTCATCTAAAGCGAGGTGGGTCGCTCAAGCCTGTGCCTGAATCTCGGCGTGATCAGTCGGGAAATGGGGCAGGCCCAGCCTAGGGAAAACCCTAGGCCGGACACATATCAAACACCTTCCTGAATTAGCAGAGATTGACTCTGGACCCCCTCAGCATCTGATTTTGGGCATTCGGGTTTTCTTGGCTAACCAGTCAGAAGGGATTCCAGCGAATGCGCTGGTGGACTCAGGGGCCATGACTCACTCTATGGACCAGGCCTTTGCAGCCCATTTTGATGTCCCCTTGGTTCCGGTGGAACCTCCAATGAGGGTCAAGACTATTGATGGGTGGGAACTTATTGCAGGACCCATTAAATTCACCACCCAGCCTTTGCGCCTAGTCATTGGAGAACATAAGGAGGCGATCCACTTTTATGTCACCACGGACCTCCATTTCCCATTAGTCCTCGACATGGCTTGGCTTAGGATTCATAATCCTCAGGTGGCATGGTCACGGAACGCCACTTCTTTTCCGAGTCTGCAGTGCATGGACCACTTCTGCCACACCTGTGCTGGCCAGGACATCACCACCTCTGCCATCTCCATACCTCCTGAACTGGCGGACTTCATGGATGTGTTCAGTGAGAAGGAGGCAGACCGGTTACCCTCGCATCGGCCCTATGATTGCCCAGTGGACCTTCTGCCCAAAGTACCACTGCCAAAGAGACGTTTGTACTCCATGTCCGAGCCCGAGCTGGCCGCACTACGGGACTTTTTGGACAAAAACTTGGCCCGAGGGGTCATCCGGCATTCGTCGTCCCCTCTCTCAGCCCTAGTCCTCTTTGTCAAGAAGAAGATGGGAGACTTACGCTTGTGCTGTGATTACTGCCGGCTAAACGCCATCACGGTGCGGAATAGCTACCCCTTGCTGCTCATTCCAGAGTTGTTGGAGAGGTCGCGGGAGGCCACTATCTTCACCAAGCTCGATCTTCGAGGGGCCTACAACCTGGTATGGATGCGAGAGGGGGACAAATGGAAGACGGCATTTGGCACCCGATACGGCCATTTTGAGTACACTGTGATGCCGTTTGGGTTGACCAATGCCCCCGCAGTCTTCCAGCACCTGATGAATGACGTGTTTCGGGATATGTTAGATCAGTTTGTGGTGGTGTACCTGGATGATATTCTGATCTATTCCAGGTCCAGGGACAGCCACCTTCAACACATTCGTCTGGTCTTGCAATGCCTTCGGGAGCACCAACTTTATGCGAAGCTGAAGAAATGTTTCTTCTTCCAGACTTCCATTGAGTTCCTTGGGCACATCATCTCTCCCAAAGGCATCGCCATGGACCCAGGTAAGGTGGAGGCCTTATGTAGTTTGGAACCCCCTCGTGGCATGAAGGACGTTCAGCGCCTATTGGGGTTCGCTATTACCGGACCTTCATCCCGGTTTTGCCAAGCTGATGGGTCCAATAACCCAGTTCCTTCGAAAG